GCAGAGAGGGCATTGGAGTCCCCGATTTTTTTCCCTTCTTAAGACCAAAAGATAGAAGCAGAAAACTTTGAAGATCAGAGATAGTGAGGGGCTGGAGAGATGGCTTAGCTGTTAAGAGCACTTGCTGTTCTTGCAAAAGACCTTGGGTTTGTTCCTGGCATCTATATCTGGTTGCTAACAACCACCTGTAACTCCAGTTTGAGGGGATCCATTGCCCTCTTCTGGCCTCTGAGGACATTTTAATCATGTGGTGCACATATGGACAAGCAGTTACATACACATATACATAAATAAAAATAAATAAAACTTTAAGAAAATATTAGGGCTAGTAGGTTGGGCATGGTGGCGCATGCTTTTAGTCCCAGCACTCAGGAGGCACAGGCAGGTGGATCTCTGTGAGTTCAAGGCCAGCCTGGTCCACATAGTGAGTTCCAGGACAGCTGGGGCTATAGGGAAGCCCTGTCTCAAAAAAAAGTGATTGATCTCGGGGCTGGAGAGATGGCTCAGTGATTAAGAGTCCTGGCTGCTCTTGTAGAGGACCCAGGTTTGATTCCTAGAAATGGACTTATTTTTAAGGTATTTGGGGGGGAGATAGTTTTATCCTTCAGATGAGGATATTATCCTTACAGATAATAGAGATCAAATGTCAGAGGCTTGAACAAGATGGGTTATTTGTTGCTCACATAACTGCAGTGGTCACGCCAGCCCACACCTACTTGGTTCTTGTGCCAGGCGTGGTCAGTAGCACTTCTGCTTCATTAGGATCCGCATAATGCCCCTGACACCTGTGCTGATGGTGTCACATGCTAACAGGTAGGAACTGAGGGATGGAAGATAGTGGTTTGCCCATGGTGATGCAGCTGGTAACTGGCACAGCCAGGACTGAGCTCTACAGCCTGGCTCCAGAGTCAGCCCTTAACCGGGTGTTCTGTCTGACACTCAGCACCACAGACTGTCGGGTCTGGTAGGGTAGTTCTGTTCCCCACTGTCCTTGGGGATCCCCTTGCTTCATCCCTTGGTGCTCTGCTCCATGTAGTTGTCAATCCTGCCTGCATTTCCACCACAGTGTTCTGGAATACTAACATGCCCACGGTGAAAGACTCCCTCAAATTGCTATGAAAGCCAGACATGGCAGCATACACCTGTAATCCCAACACATGGGAGGCAGGGGAAGGAGGATTTAAGTTTGAGGCCAGGCTTGACTATGTAGCAAAACCTTGTTATGCACAGAAATAAATATATAAATAAAATTATTGGGCCATCCAGATGACCCAGTAGGTAAAAGCGCTTGCTACACAAGCCTGACAACTTGAGTTCTTATCCCCAGAACCACACAAAAAGCCAGATGTGGTGACTGTAAACCCAGCACTCCTACAGGGAGATGGGAGGCAGAGATAGGAGAGCCTGGAAGCATGCAATGTGGGAGGAGCAAGAGGGACCTTCCTCTACCAGATGGAAGGGGAGAAGTGACCCTAAAAATTGTCCTCTGACCCCTGCACAGCACAGACACTTAGACACACATACAAATTATTATGGGGCTAGAGAAATCAGTGGTTAAGAGCACTGACTGCTCTTCCAGAGGACCCAGGGTTAGTTCCCAACAGCTAACAGCAGTCCATAACTCCAGCTCCAGGAAGTCGGATGCCTTCTTCTGGCTTCCATGGGCATTGTGCATACATGATGCACTTACACACATTCAGGCAAAGCATATAAAAAATAAATACTATTACTGTTGATCTCTGAGTTTCCCTTTGAGAAATGTGTGTGAGATGTGGGGGTGGTTTCTGCCCTTAGCCTTACCCCCCTGCCTCATGCCAAGGGAGCTGCTGTGTAGTATGGGTTCGTGGAACCTTGTGCCCATTGGTGGGGACACAGTGCTGTCAGGAGGCTGCTCCCTGAGAGAGGTCTGCCTCAGCCTGCGACCCAGGGCAATTCTACGGGCTGGAAGGGGACAGTTCTAATGATACTGGGCTTGTGAGAATTGTAGACAAGTTGGACATCCACCTTTGAGGGACAGGTAGGTAAAGAGAAGTGGAGGCCCACCGAGCAGAAACGAGCTAGAGGCATGCACAGCAGCCTGGAAGGATCCTAGAAATGTAACACAACACAAAAGAGATCCAAGTGGAGTTGTATGGCCCATTGTAACCCAATTAAATAATATACATGGCCACCCAACCTACTGCATGATAATGCTGAAGTTAGAAGAATGAGATTTCTTGGAAGCTTTTTTAAAAAAATATTTATTATTTTCATTTTATGTGTATGCATATATTGCCTGCATGTATAGTGCACCCACGTCATGCAGTGCCCTCAGAGGAGAGAAGAGGCCATCGGATCCCCTGGAACTGGAGTTTCTGACAATTGTTAATTGCTATGTGGGTGCTGGGAATCGAACCCGGGTCTTCTGAGCTGTCTCTCCAGCTCCTTGGAAGTTTTTTTTTAATGCTGTGATTCGCAGTTGGACTTTTACGTATCCCCTGAATTCTTCATTTCTGCAAGCTTGGTGTTGTTTTTACAAAATCTTTATCCTCCTTTGGTGATAAAAAGCAACAACAGTCAATTGTGGCTCTTTTCCCACCTGTGACAATGTGCATTTGGAGGAACTATAAGAATTATGCTTACTGTAGCAATTTTGAAAAGTCCAGTAAAGTTTAAAGAAAATAAAATCCTTTGTTCCCACTGCCAGGGTAGTAAGCAAGGCAAACCAGCGATGTATTTTGTCTGGCCTCTTGTGTTTACATAAACATGCGTAAATACTGTGTGTGCAGCAGCTGCAAGTCCACCATGAGTAATGTTATTCCTCGCTCCTCTTCCTGAAAGCTGTGGCATGCCTCCAGCATCATTACCTGTTCCTGCTAAACTTTATCTACAATAATCCGTGTGCTTACCATGTGCCAGGCATGGAGGTTGATGTATGTTAACTGTGGCCATACTTTGTCGTGACTTTTTTGACAAAGCACCCCATTGTCTCCAATGGGCTTTTCTTTTAAAAAAAAAAAAGCCCTCGATGATTTTTATTTTTTGGTCTTTTTGAGACAGGGTCTCCCTGTAGCCCCAGCTGTCCTAGAACTCACTATGTAGACCAGGCTGGCCTTGAACTCACAGAGATCCACCTGCCTCTGCCTCCTGAGTGCTGGGATTAAAGGCGTGCACCACCACACCTAGCTATCAATGTTTATTTTTTAAAAAGTTCTTGCTGGGCATGGTGGCACACACCTTTAATTCCAACACCTTGGAGACAGAATAAGGCAGATATTTGTGAGATTGAGGTTAGCCTAGTCTGATAGCTAGTTCCAGGCCAGTTGGGGTTATAGGGAGACCCTATTTCAAAACAAACAAAAAACCAGTTTTGGGGCCCATGAGATGGCTCAGCTAGTAAAGGCACTTGCTACCAAGCCTGAGGACCCAAGTTCGATCCCTGGGATCCACATGCTCAAAGTTGTCCACTCACCTGCTGTGTTACTCCTCTCCCTCCTCCCCCATACAAAATAAGTAAAATGTAATTTTTTAGAAAAACATTTCTTCAAGCAGAGTAAGAGTCCAAGAACCATTATATGTTGTGAGTCCTCTTGGACATAGGTCTTAGTAATGATTCCTTGTAAATGCAAGGCTGGGCCCTGAATATGTTTTGTTAGATGACTGCATCTGTGTGGCACAGTGGACTGCAGTGAACATTTCTATTAGACAAGACTGAAGGATCAAAGGAAGAAAGCTGTTTTTTTGTGCAGGACTGAAGGGCCCAGACATTTCCATGTGGCCTCTGATGGGCACACAGCAGCCTGACTACCGAAGAGCCTTTCTTACCACCTCACCTCTCAGAGGCTGAAGCGGAGAGTTAAACAAGTACCAGGAAGGGACCATCCATGTTCTTTCTCAGGTTACTTTGAGTCCTCCTCAGCTTGGGTCTTGAATCAGACAGCCTCTCGCCCCTGCTGTGTACTGTGGAACTTCTATGAGAAATTGAGACAGTCTTCTCTAACAAAGGCCCCGTGCCCAGGCTGGGGAGCTGGTAAACAATGAACCTTCAGCACGGTTCCCTAATGGATTTTGTGTGACTCCATGTCCTTCTGTATGCTGTGATCTCGCTGAGTCTCCAAGATGGTGTGATAAAAGTGCAGTGTTTTCTCTTGGGTGACTCACAACTGCCTGGGACTCCAGGGCCAGGGGATCCAACACTCTTCTGGCCTCTGCAGGCACATACACATACATACACTTAGGCATACACATGCACACATTAAAAAATAAATCTTTTATTTATTTATTTATTTTTTATTTTTATTTTTTTGAGACAGTGGCTCCCTGTAACCCCAGCTGGCCTGGAACTCGCTATGTAGACCAGGCTGGCCTTGAACTCACAGAGATCCACCTACCCTTGCCTCCTGAGTGCTGGGATTAAAGGCGTGCACAACCATGCCTGGCCTTTAAAAATATTTTTTTAAATGCAATGTTTTCCAATGGTATTTGTCTATGAGGTTTATTTTTTTCTATCACTATCTTATATGAGTGGGGAATACCAAATTGGTGGAATTCAGCCCTGGAAGCACCCACAGACTTGGTTCCTATGCCCTCATATGCATACCAAGTCTGCCAGGAACTTTGTCCCTACATTAAAGGGGGGCTCCGTGACCCAGATGTCCTGTGAGTCTGCCAGAGAGCTCGATGAGTTTTGGTAATCTAGAGAATTTTTGCAGACCATCTCCAGTGAGTTGGACATAGCTCATTGGCCATGAGGCCTGAGTGATCATTTTCTAACATGAAATTGATAAATGCAGTTGGAGACAGGTGTGCTGGGTTGGTGTGTGAGAAATGGTTTGGTTGGTGTTCTAACAAGAGGAGCTCCCATGGGGAGCCTGACGGGGGAAGGGGCAGGCACGTCCCTCAGCATGGAGCCCCCCTGCTTCTCCCTAGCCCGAAGAACCCCATGGAAGACTCTAGACTCTATCTCTCTCTCTCCGTTTTTAGATAAGGCCTCTGGACTTTCTTCACCTTTTGTTTTACAGAAGAGGATGTGGAAAACTTTGATGTGACCAACCTGTCTCAGGACGTACTGCGAAGCATCGAAGCCGACAGCTTTTGGTGCATGAGCAAGCTGCTGGATGGGATCCAGGTGAGCTGCTCCCGCCTCTGTGGCCCTTCTAGGTCCAGGGCTCCAGATCCAGGGCTCCCTCAGGGCTTGCGCTTCCTCATTGCTTTTCTGTGTCAGGCAGGGCCATCGTACCAGAGCTTCTCTGCTCTTCATTCGCTTGACAGTGGTCTAGCATCCCCCAGAGTCTGAGCTCTCCATGCTGTACTGGCTCTGTCATCAGAGCAGGCCTCTGCTTTGTGCTATGTGGGTTTGCTTCCAAAGTGCAGGGCTCCTTTAGCCTTCACCATGAACTACTGGTGTGTGGCTACCTCTGTCCCCCAAACAGTGTCACCAGCCATTAGTACTCGTGTGCTTTTAAAAATGTATATTTTATTTTTAATTTGTGTGTGTGTGTGTGTGTGTGTGTGTGTGTGTGCATGTGGGTATGCACACCTAGGTACAGTGCCTCTGGAGGTCAGTATTGGGTCCTCTGGAGCTGGAGTTACAGGTGAACCACCAGACATGGGTGCTGGGAACCAAAGTCAGGTCCTATGCAAGAGCAATACACACTTTTAACTCCTGAGCCATCTCTCAAGTTCGCGATACAGTTTTTTTGTTTTGTTTTGTTTTTGGTCTCTTTTTTTGAGACAGAATCTCCCTGTAGACCCAGCTGACCTGGAACTTGCTATGTAGACCAGGCTGGCCTTGAACTGAGAGTTCTGGGATTAAAGGCATGCACCACCAAGTCCGGCTTGTCATATACTTTTAAATGTGTTTCAGGACTGGGGAGATGGGCTCAGTCTCTAAAGTACTTTCTCTGTGAGCATGAAAACCTGATTCTGATTCCCAGGGCTGGGGAGGTGCCTAGCCCAATTTGTGAGCCCCAGGTCTCAAAGAACAAGGTAGACCAAAGGGGTAGCAGCCAGCCTCTCTGGGCTTCCTGCTCACCCCAGGCTCTGTCTTTTGCAGGATAACTACACGTTTGCACAACCAGGGATCCAGAAGAAAGTCAAGGCACTAGAAGAGCTCGTCAGCCGCATTGATGGTAGGTCAGAGGGTAGGAGCTCTCAGCAGTACAGGTTGGTGCTGGCAGAAGCTGGGACGTCCCCAGCTCCCTCCCCAGCTGGAGGAGGCTAGCACCTTGCTGTTGTCCCAGGTCTGTTCACCTCTTTTTCTGTCACTGGGTTCTCAGTTCTTCCTCAGCAGCTCTATCTCAGCAACTCCTCCTCCACAGCTCTGGTCTACCATTAGATCTCTGCACCTCCTCCTGGAAGGACTTACCCTTCATACTCTTCCAGACCATCTGTCACATGCCTGATTTTCTTAGAGCAGTGTCCTGGTTACGCTCATCTTTTACTCAGGAACCTTGTGTGACTTCCCCTGGCCTTTGGCATCCAGGCTGTGGGCTAACCTTGACCTTCACATGGTGATGAAACTCAGCATCCTAGGTTTGATGCAGGGTCTTCAGGTCTGGCTGACTCCCCAAAGAACTTCCCACATCCCAGTGGGACCTGTGTGAACTGGGGAACCTTGACACAACTCCTTATGAAACAGGCGTCTGTGGGGAGCAGGCATCTGGGGAACAAGAGGAATTTCCTGGTTCTGGCCTGAGAATGTGGAATGGTAGAACTGAAAGGCAACTTGGGAAGCCCCGGCTGACAAATACACTCTAGCCAGAGAGAGAAGTTAGAAGCAAGCTGCCCAGAGCCTGTGGCCTCACAACGAAGTCCCTGTGAACCAGGGTCCCTAGTACCAGTGAGGTGGCGCAGCCTCTTTAAGATGCTGCTGGTCCCCGCACCAGATGTCTCTCCCACCTCTCTGCTGTTGGACTCTGCTCTACCCAAAGCCCTTCGCTCTTTCCCCACACAGAAGCTGTGGGTCTTTTTCACTTCTTTCTTCTTCCCTTCTCTTTTCGTGGAAACATTCCTTGATTTGTTCTTCTCACTTCACCTCCCTGTGACTCTGAATTTCCATGTTCACTTTCATGTGTTCCCTCACAGCTGTGCTCTGGGAGGGGCAAGTGGAGTGTGCTTTCCCCTGTGGCTTATTGCTCTACCCCAGCTGCTAGCCTCCATGGTGGAGCCCATGCACCGGCCTTTGGACTTGTTCCCCCAGAGCCTTGCTTGGGGTGCATGCTTTCCTCTTCTGGGGTGCTAAGTGGCTGCCAGGAGCTGATTGTCAGTTGGGTTCCAAAAGGCAGAAGGGGTCCTGGTCAATAAAGGCTTGGAACTTAAAGACAGTGGCTTTTTAAGTTTGTATGCCAGGCCAGTGAGTTAGCTCAACTGGGTAAGGGCATTTGCCGCCAAGCCTGACAACCTGAGTTCCTTCCTGGGACCCACATCATGGAAGGAAAGAACTGACTCCCACAAGTTGTCCTGACCTCCACACAAATCCACAGAAGCCCCTCCGCACTAAATGAAATAAATTAATTGATGTAAATGTGCAGGCTTTTTCCCATTTCATATGCACTCTCTCATTGTAAAACTTTATAAACGCAATGTCCTTACACAAAGTAATTAGAAGTCCTCCTTAAATTCTAGTTCTACAAGTAACCATTGTTATTAGCTCTTCTTTAAGTAATGGATTAATGAGCTGGGCATGGTGGAAGGCAGAGGCGGGCAGATCACTGTGAGCTGGTGGCCAGCTGGGTCTCCATACTGAGACCCTGTCTCAGAGGAACAAGGATTAATACTTAGCATATGCAGGTGCTATAGTGACTACCCTACTCATGCCTTCTGTCTTCTCCTCCAGAAGCCTTCTGAGGTGTGAGTGATTATCCTTATTAAAAACATATATATTTTTTTTTTCGTCTAGCAGCGCACATCTTTAATCCCAGCACTCGGGAGGCAGAGGCAGGTGGATCCCTATGAGATCCAACCTGGTCCACATAGCCAAGTTCCAGACCAGCTGGGGCTACAGGGAGACCCTGTCTTTAAAAAAAAAAGTGGGTGAGGGCTGGAGAGATGGCTTATCAGTTAAGAGCACTGGCTGCTCTTGCAGAGGACCTGGGTTCGATTCCCAGCACCCACATGGCGGCTAATTATCCATAAATTCAGTTCCAGGGCATCTAACACCCTCTTCTGGCCTCTGTGGGCATTGCATGCACTTGGTGCACTTATACACATGCAGACAAAACATTTATACACATAAAATAAAAATAATAAATAATTTTTTCTACATTTATTTGGGGAGGTTATGTACATATGCCACCACATGTATGGGGACATCAGAGGACAACCTTCTGGAGTCAGTTCTCTCCTTCCACCATGTTGGTTCCAGGGCTTGAACTCAGTAGACAGGCGTGTACTTGTCTTGTACTTATATAGCAAGTACCTTTATTCTCTGGCCCTGAATTAAGCCCATTTTATAGATGAAGAAACTGAGGAGGATAGTGATTTCAAATAGTCACTTCAAGCATTGTTTGAGAGCTGTCATGTGGAACAGGGACCAGGTTTGTTTTGACTTGCTCCAGAATACTACCTGGGCCAAGGGAGGAACTTGGGCAGCAGCTAGTTTCTACTGAATAAGAGAAGAATCTTCTGATGAATCTCTCCATACATCAGAGGAGAAGGGGGTCAGTGAATCCCTTCCACTAGCAGTGTTTCAGTCTCTGCTGGTCAGCCATCTGTGAGAGACACCAAAGAATTCCTCATCAGTGGGAAGCTGGCCAAAGTGATGCCAAGATTCTTTTCCATTATGGCTCCCTCCCTGAGGAATGATAAGATTCAGCAGCCAAGTGCACCTTCTGTCTATTGCTTCATGGCCCCAGCAGCCCTAGCAAGGAAGAGGGCACCTAGCGAGGCACTGCTGCAGGCTGGCAGTTCCTCCAGTCAGCCACGTATGCTGCATTGAGATGATGAGATCTAATGAAATCTGCCCTTTGGCTCCTGGGATCCTTCCCATGGATCCCCTAAGCTGTGTCCCTTGGGGCCAATGCTCCTGTGAGCCTCCCTGTGGACCCCCTAGGCTGTGCCCTTTGGCAATGCCCAATGGCACTTCCTGTTTTAGAACAGGTACACAATCACTTCAGGAGGTACGAAGTGGAATACCTGCAGTTTGCCTTTCGGTGGATGAACAACTTGCTCATGAGGGAGCTTCCTCTGCGCTGCACCATCCGCCTGTGGGACACGTACCAGGTATGGAGGGACCCTGCCCTCTCTCAGCTGTCCCTGAGGGCCCCAGCTCCCTGTCCTGGTATGAAGAGTGGTGGTTTGGAAAGTCTCTCTGCCTTCTTTCTGTTCTGTGTCCACCATGGCCTAGTGGCATGACTTTTACTATAACTTTCAGCCTGATTGCTCTGCCAGGAGCAGGGTGTTGGGTTGGCTTTTGCCCCTTCCAGAAGGCTTGGAACTGAGAAGACCACACTGGGCTCCCTGTTGGGGCTTAGAGGCCTGCCTGACTCTCCTTTCCTTCCCAGTCTGAGCCAGAAGGATTCTCCCACTTCCATCTCTATGTGTGTGCAGCCTTCTTGATCAAGTGGAGGAAAGAGATCTTGGATGAGGAAGACTTTCAGGTGAGTAGTTAGGAGCTCAGCCTGAGCTGAAAAGGGCCGATGCATGGGAGTGAGTCCTTGGGGACTGAATGGACAGAAGGTGCTGCCAGAGGTTTCTGGCAAGAAGAGAGGAAAGGAGAGGTCGCCCTCCCAGTTTGCAGGGCTTCAGTGGGGCCCTAGTGTCTTCCAAGGAGAAGGGTCTTTGTGCCCAAAAGGCTCCAGAGCGGCCAAGCAGGCCTAAGAGATGCCCATAGTCATTCACTGACAAGTGTTTATTTCAGACTTACCCTGTGAGGCACCATTGAGGCAGGGGGCATTCTGGGAAGGGAAGCACAAGGGTAACAAAAGCAGTAAACAGAAGCATAAGGAGCTTAAAGGAATACCAGGTGGTAAGTGTATGTTGCTTAGAAGTCATGGTAAAGAGATTCTTAACTTGGTAAGGAAGGGACAAGCTCACTGAGAGGGTAACATTTTAGCAAGGACTTGAGAAGAGTGAGGGATCGAGCTGTGTGTCCACCTAGGGCAGAGGGAATGGCCAGTGCAAAGGCCTCAAGTCAGTGAATGTCTGGGCTGTTTAAGGAACTGTGAAGGCAACAGTGCAGGCTGGAGTGAGTGGCCAGTGGAAGAGCAAGACAGGTGAGATCAGTGAAGTTAGGCAGAGGCAGGCAGATCTCTGTAAGTTCAAGGCCAGCTTGGTCTACATGTGAGTTCCAGGTCAGCTGGGGCTACAAGGAGACCATGTCTCAAAAAGACCAAGAAAACCAAAAAGAAATTATTACAGGGGACTTAGGGAGATGACTCAGCACTTGCTGCGAAAGCAAGAAGACCCAAGTTCTGGTCCCCAGCACCCACATAAAAGCCAAGCACGGCTGTGTGTGCCTGTAATGCCAGCATTTCGGGGTGGAGATGGGTGTATCCCAGGAGCTCACTGGCCAGCTAGCCTAGCTGAACTGCAAGCTTCTGGGTTAGTCTCCAGGCAATAAAGCAGAGATCAATAGAGGAAGACACCCCATGTCCTCTGGCCTCTGCGTGGGAGCCAGAAAGCATACATGGGCACATGCATGCCCACACACATGCATACAGCACAGGCGAATCACACACAAGCCAGGTGTGGTGGTGCACGCCTTTAATCCCAGTACTCAGGAGGCAGAGGCAGGCAGATCTCTGTGACATGGTGGCCAGCCAGGAAGAATGTCCCTGAAAAACAGATAAACAAAAAACCGTTATAGAGATGTTTGATACCATGAAGTATGTTCAGGTCTCTGGGACATGAGGCCCTTGGCCCTTGAGTAGTAACCCACTGGGGAGCTCCGGGCTTTCTGTCTGCTGCTCTGGCAGACACCTCAGTGCATGTTGCTGGGGAGGAGTGGGCAGGCTAGAAAGGGCGACTAAGGTCCGGCTCCTCCCACCCCACACTTCTAGCATCTTCACTAGAGGACAGCTGTGCCTGGCTCTGCTAGGCTAGGCAAGCAGTAGACGTTAGGGGACAGAATCTCACAGAGCACAGTGCTGTGCAAGATGGTAAACCATGCCCTGTATTGGGTCTGGGGGCTCCCCACTGCCAAGAGCTGCGGTCAGCCCCTGCAGAGAAAGCGTGGTGAGTCCAGGGGCCGCAGGCAGCCAGCTGAAGCAGTGCAGAGAAAGTGGGAGTTGTGGCTGCTTCAGCTGACCAGCCCTGCCTGTCACTCCTAGAGAACTGTATAGCAACCCAAGGGCAGCCTCAAGGGGAAAACAGCCACTCGTAGTGCAGGGATATGCACTCCAGGACAAGGTCTAGCCCCTGTCTTTGATGCTGCTTATGTAGGTACTCACCCTAAAGCAGTAACTGGGGTATACCTTTGATTTCCTTTCTGAAAAATGGGCATGATAGGGCCACCTCCTGAGCTATGATGGACATTAAACAAGTTAATGTGAGAAGCAGTTGGAAAGTGCCTGGGAGAGAGTGCATACAACCTTGAGTTTCCTGTCCCTGATGTCCTTGTGATGTCCTTGATGTCCCTGCATGCATTGGCCAAGTGGAGACTTCAGACCCCAAGTTTCTAAGTGGTTTGTAACTATGAGTTAACCACACCGGGCTCATCTTGGGGAAGTGGCAGGCAAAGGTGTCAGGAGACAAGGCAAAGCAGCGCCCCAACAGTGGTGAGAGCCCCCCGGGAGGAAGGCTGCTGCTTCATTTGTTTGGAGCCACTGCCTTGGGAGAGGAGGCCACACTCTGACAAAGGGAGACTGCATTAAGAAGGTTCCTTCTGGGGCTGGAAAGATGGTTCAGTGGTTAAGAACACTGGTTGTTCTTGCAGAAGACCGGGATTTGAATCCCAGCACCCACATGGCAGCTAACAACTGTCTGTAATTCCAAGCCTCTTCTGACCTCTGCAGGCATTGCATGACACAGGTGCACTTACCTATCTGCAGGCAATACACTCATACACATAAAATTAAAAAAAAAAATTTTTATTTTTTTTGTCTTTTTTGAGATAGGGTCTCCCTGTAGCCCCAGCTGTCCTGGAACTCACTCTGTAGACCAGGCTGGCCTTGAATTCACAGAGATCTGCCTGCCTCTGCCTCCCAAGTGCTGGGACTACAGGCGTGCACCACCACGCCCAGCATAAATAAATTTTTTTAAAAAGTTTCAAAATTAAAAAAAAAAAGTTCTTCCTGAGACCTCTAAGCAAGGGGACCTGCAACAGGACTGCGCACCGGTTCTCTCTCTGGGAGAAGTAGGACCAGGTCCTCTGGGTCCAGGCTTGCTTGAAACAAGAGCCTTCAGCACTGCTGAGCCAGGCTCTTCCATGGTAGCAGGTGCCTTGGCCTGACCTGGAGTGATGGAATGGACATTGTTACATGTCACATGTTTGACAGTTTCATAAGATTCAGTCTAGTAATAGTTCATCCTCAGCACGACTTTTTATTTTTAGACAAAGTTGCACTATGTAGCCCTAGCTGACCTGCAACTCACTGTGTAGAACAGGTTGGCCTTTAACTCAGAGATCCACCTGCCTCTGCCTCTGGAGTGCAGGAATTAAAGGTGTGAGCCCCCAGGCCCAGGTCTCACCACACTCTTCTAATATGCAGGCACTGACTCTTCTAGATTTTGTTTTTCAGTCTCATGCTATAGCCTAGGCTAGCCTCAAACTCCCCATGATCATCTCATCTCAGCCTCCTGAGTACTTGGCTAATTTGATTTTGTTTGTTGTGGGTTTGAGACAAGGTTTTGCTATGTAGCCCCCCAGTCTAGACTCAAACTTGTAACCCTCCTGCCTTAGCCTCCTATAGTGGGACTGAGGCCTGTGTGGCCGTGCTCAGCCACTGGTTGAGAATATTGTTGGCATCTAGGGTGCTTGAGGGAAAATGGGTGACGGCTAGACTTCACAGTTTCCAAGCCACAGAACAATTTGGATGGAGGGTGGTGACTGTGCAAGAGATTGTGTGGCGCTGAGTGTGTCATGGTGAGAAGCCTTCCTCATTGGAGAGAAGCCCTGTTCATGGCCACCTGGGTAGTTATGGTGTCTGGGACAGCAGCACTAGATAGCACCATTGCCGTGTGCCATGTGCCGTTGTGTGCCACCAAGGTGCACTGCGGCCTGGCTTACCAGGCCTGAGCCCCGGGAGCATGGGGCATCAGGGTTGGTAGTTGGAGGACTGGGAAGGACCTAGAAGAATCAGGTAGGAGCCTGTGGGGGCTGAAATGTCTACTTCTGGCCTGACGTAAGACACACCGAGAGCAAGCCCTTGTCAGTGCTTGCCTCAGCCTGCACTGTGCTGGGGTTACCAGATTCAGAGTGGTCAGTGCAGCTGTGGCCAGCCAGTGGGGAGAGCTGCAGGAGTTTTCCTGGCAGAGGGCACAGCCAGAGGGAAGGCGCTATGAGAGTAAGAGGGTCAGGTGTTGTGGGAAGAGGTAGAGAGGTATGTCATGGGTCAGACTAGAGCAGGGCAAAGCTGCTTTTTGAAGTTTGTTAGTTGTTTGTTACAGTGCTAGGAATTGAACTTAGGGCATGTTAGGCAAAATGGTCTACCACTGAGCTATCTTCCCAGCCCAAGCATGGTTTCTGTGAAAACCTTGTGGTGAATTTGTATCCCCACCCAATGCCACATCAGCAGCCTGGTCCTAAAGCCTGGCTCTGCCACGTCTAGGCTCTGCTCAGTCCTTGGGGATGGAAGAGGAGTGGTTTGGTCCCACCCCACTAGAGGGTCACAGAGGTTCAACCTCCACTGTTAAACAGCAAATCCTCATGGTTAAGGAAGATTTTCAGCTCCTCCCAGAGCCAAGGTTAAACTTGAGATACTGAATGAAACTAGGGGAGCCAAGGGATTAACTCACTGGAAAACATGTTTTTATTCCATTTATGCCCTTTGGCAGAATATTACCATCTAGGCAGGTTGTGAATATGGGACTTGGAAATCTTCCCAACACAAGTTGGTGTCAAACCCAGGGAAGTCATGAGTTCTATGCCCAGGGGTACCTGACAAGCCCTGTGTAGGTCAGTGCAAAGCACCTAGAGACACAGTTGGGCTGCTGAGGTGAAGAAGGAAACACCTCCAAAAATCAGAAATTCAGAAGCTCACAAGCTGTGCCACACCGGGCATACCAGTGGACAGCTCTCAGAAACTGCGCAGACTCTACGCTGGACTCTGGTCTTGACAACGCCTGAGCAGACACTGCTGGCTGTGTGTCCAAGAACTCCTCTTAGAAAAGCAGCATCTGTGAGAGGCCAGCTGCCCACAGACCTCGAATGCCTAGTGCTGAATCTGAGACACATCGAGCAAGGGCCACAAAGCCTAGGGCTCCAAGTTCCTATAAACACACATAAAGGGAGCCAGTGGGGCCAGTGGGGCCACTGTATCAGCCAGTGTTGGAGAAGTCCTTGCTTCTGTCCTGTGCAAGAGTTTGAGATTACCACTGTGCAGTATCCTTTGTAGGCAACAGAGCAGAGATTGTATTTATTGATTGATTTATTTGAGTCTCATGTAGCCTCGTCTGGCCTCCAAACTCACCATACAGCTGAGGATGACCTGACACTTCT